ATCCTTTAAACATGAAAATATTTGTATTCTGTTGTGTTTCAATGCAATTAATTTGTCTTATCTTAGCAATAAAAGTATTTTAAAAAAATTTAAAAACCCTATGTATTTTTATAGAATTATATGTAATTATATTCCTTATATGCACACGAGATAAACATGCAATGTGTATATGTATACAGTATTAAAATGTAACACCTCAAATCTGCTTAATATTCTTGATCATACACAGAAGTCTTTCTTTCTTTTTTTAACATCACCACAGGCCACTGAAAAATTATGTTGTATAATAGCCATTACAGTCAATTCACTTAATAGTCTGTTTCTTCCTGCATTTTGCTGCAGTTGAGTTTTAATGGAGCTGACTGGAGTCCATTTTTCACAAAATCATCAGGTATGATAAAAGCGAAGCAGTGTACTTCTGTATGTCCGTGGATCATTGCCACACAGTAATTTTCAATTCTACCAAACAAGAAGACAACTGAGCAAAATAAAAATTAATGGCATAAAGAGACTTTTTTTTAAGGAAAAGACCCCCCCCCCAAAACACATTTCATTTGCTATACTGCACGTGCCTTATTTTTCATAGTGTTGTATTGTGTTGTCTATTGTGTGAGAGGTTTAGATCAGTGTGCACAGTCGGGTGTGCATTCACTGATGTAAACCCTCAAAGTTCTTTATCCCTTAGGATTATAATAATGTATGCATTGATTACTCACTAAATATGGCCTGATCTTCATCTAAATCACAATTATAAACAAACACAATTTGACTAAACTAATAACACACAAAATCAAAGTCTTTAAGGAACACATTCGGGAATAATTCACTAGAAACAATAAGTAACCTTGTTATTAATGACTCCTCCACTTCCATTAAGGAGATTGGATTTGAAGTGTGGGTTGTGGAGGTTCCTATCTCTAAAAATATGGCCATTCTAAGACTGCTTACTGACAAAGTCTGCACTGAAGACAGACTGGTTGGTGTGAGCTGTTCCTCGATCACAACAACTTTCAGCGGATCTTAGAAGAAGCATTATAAAGATGCACGAAGCCGTTAAAAGGTTACAAAACCAATTCTAAAGACCTGGGTGGTCATCAATCCACAGACAGACAAATTGTCTAGATAATGGAGGAAAGTCAGGACTTTTTTGGCTCTCGCTAAGGGTCCTGCAAAGATCACAGCAAGAGCACAACATGCAATCCTGAAAGATGTGAAAAGAGATCTAAGGTTAAAAGCAAAGCACCTGCAGAATTGTTTACAAGTGGCAAGGTCTTTATTCATGTGTCCACTATAGGAAAAACACTGAATAAGAATGAAACACACCACAGAATGAAACCACTGATCTACAAAGCTGTAGTTTGTTACACACTTTTTGTTGTCTGGACAAATAACACAAAAGTTGAAACTTTTTTTGGCTGCATGTGTGATTGTATGGATCAACAAAATTAAGGATTCTTAAAGAAGATGCTGTAAAATTAAGACACTGTGTCCCCAAGTACGCATGACTTGAATAGGGCCGTGTAATCAGATGAACTGAAACAGTTTTTAAAAGAGGTGGAATCACCCAACGTCATCCTCACTGTGGAGCAACTCTCATCAGCATTAATCACAAAGGTCTAATGGAACTTGTTATTGCTAAATGAACCTCTGCACACTCACTTTTTCACCCAACACTGTAGAGGATTTTTCTGTGTGTTCAATAAAGACAAGAAAAGCGTTCCAGTCATATTAGTTAAGTAGTCAAATTTCATTTGTCTGTAACTGTGACTTAGATGAAGTGAACACCTTATTTCATGACTAATCAATGCAGGAATCCAAAGGATTTCTTGCACCTGTAGTTTGCTAAGTGATGTGTTAAAAAAATGACACACACTTTTTTTTTTACTGGTCCATTTTACTGATGTCTGTAGCCTTTATTTGGAAACAAATACCAAAGACTGTCAAAACTCTCTTCACTTGACGGCAGCCAGCCTTCTGTGCATTTACGCAGAGATGAAGTGCAAGCTGCCATCTTGGCAAGTAGAGACAGTGTATGTTTATCATCCATCATGCTTGATACTTATTTCTGACATTTCGAAGGCCAGGCTCGTATTATGGTGTCCACAAATTAAACAAATGTTTGCTGAACAAAATGCGCCCCCAGATACAGAGTTCGTCCCAGGAAAACACTGATTAGGTCCACAGGAGCCATTAGTTTTTAATATAACCAGGAGGGGGACACTCTAACTGCAAATGCGAGGAAAGGAAAAACTAACAACTTCATGCATGAATGAAGCTTGTGCTGGCCTCGAACGCATCAGAATGTTGACAAACCCTGCCAGCTGGAAAATTAGTTGATTTTAAAAAGTAATTATTTAGGCTTGTCTTTTGGACAACAGTGGTGTCAGTCCGTCGCACCGGCAAGTTCTTTTTCCTCACTTCACTCACCTTTTTCACAGGCCACATTAATTATCTCTGAGCAGGATCTCCTCACCTTATTAATGCTTGCAGATTCCACCCTAGTACAAGAATTGCCTTTGGCTGAGACGGTGGGATTCTCACCATAATATTTTCTGAAATAACTTTGCAGGGGATTATCTGTGGGTGGACAGCTACCACTGCAGCTGCTCTATGAGCTCAGAAGTGGATAGCATACAAGGAAGAGAGAGGGTTTTTATTTTTATTTTTTTAATTTTTAAATAGTGTGCCACAGGAAGACCACAGAATCGCACGGTTCAAAGTGTTCATCAAAATTCACAGCCTGCGAGTTCAGTTCGCAGTGTCGAAGCCAACCTGCTGAGCTGTGCTGGAGTAAATCTATAGAAACAAATTAACTCCACGTCTGTTGGTCTGGGCATGTGCAGAAGATAACAGGCTTCAATTACAAAGCTCTTTCTCCTAATTGAAAATGCAGCTAATAGCTTAAGTGCTTGCTATCTGGAATAGCTAAAATAATGTGCGGGTAGTGCAGCGGATTCTGGCGTTTACAATACACTCCTGAGAAGAAGGTTTAAGCCCTCGGGCAGCCTTTTACAGCATCTCTCCCACCTTCATCTCACTTGCCACTTTGCACTCTGTGGCTCTTAATAAAAACTGAAAAATGAATTCTCGTGTGTCAGAAGAGACTTTGCCTGCATTGTGATGCAAATAGCCCAAGACACTATTGATGAGCACGATGGCAGCAACGTTCATAGCTAACGCACACGACGATCTAGTGGGCACATTTTTACAGCAACTTAAACAAGCACGACAAACCTGCAGGTGGTTTCACAGGTGTCCGGCTCTAGCATGTGTTCTTACATTGCATTGCCGTGTTTGGCATGAAATGTAACACGCACAGAGGTAACAAAAAAATGGAAAAGAAAAAAAATCCCATTACATTTTTAACAACTCATGCTGCTCCCTTGAGCTGTAGAGGGCAAGGAATAACAAAGCTGAGGGAAGTCTCGGCTCCTTACCTCTGATGGGCTATTAGTTATTCCAGCTAGCAGAAGCCCCATTAGGTCTGCCATTTAATGCTCCCACGCCACATTCGCACATGAAAGCTACAAGATTGATAAGCCGACCATCTCACCTCCAGCTTCCCTTGCGCTTGAGAAATGCTCTGCCACTGATAATCTGACAAAGAGCTGATTTAGCTACCCGCGCACCTTGTACCAAGTGACATTTCTGAAAACAATGAAACATATGTGTGCGGGCCTTTTTACAGTGACTTGAGTAAAGGGCACAGCAAGAACCTAACTGGTGCTACAGCACAATCCACTGACATGAAACATCTTATAAAATGCTTTACATGGTGCATGTAGAGTATAGAAAATGAGCTGTGCTGCAGCGAGATAAAACTTTGTCTCTGAGCTGCGCTGACACAGACAACAGAGAAGAAAGATGTCTTCCGTACTAAACAGCATGTCTGGTTATTCTGACAAAAAGGTGCTCGCAAAGATTCCAGCGACTCCACATCTTTCCCAGCACAACATGTTCTGTTAATCACACTTAACCACACTGCCAAATGAAAAAGAAGAAAAAAGAAAAGCTGCTGGACAAAAGAAGACAGATACAGAGCATTTGGAGAGAAAATAAAGAATACATGGGCAAAAAAGTGCCTAATTAAACACGAGCAAATTGATTAGCCTTTCTGTCTCGATCCCTTAGTGCCACGCAGGGGGCTCACAATCTGTCACATGGAGGAAGTCTGGTTTTAGTGCAAGGATTTTAAAGCCAATTCCATGAGTAAAAGTTTCACAGGAGTAAACAGTTTCTTTATAATGCTGAGATTAAACAAAAGTAGCATAATGCAGTCCCCTCCTGCAGCGTTACACAAAAACCGGGAAAAATGCAAGCCCAAATGCATAATTTATCTTTTATTTGGCTGCAGGCCTTCATAGTGTTCCCCAGCCTGTGGTGACTGTTTGAACTTTGTAAGTTAAACTAATGAGGAAAAAAACCTAAGCACACAATTGCTAAAGGCTAGGAGGGAAAAAAGCAAAGAAAATGAGATTTACAATCAGCTGGTGTGATTGTAAATATTGGCACACTTCAGACATTCGCAAACAAACATCAAGACTCACACGATTTGCACGTTTGCCGCTACAGCTGTGGCAGCAAGCACACAGGATAGGAGAGGACCATCTGCACAGTGACTTGATCCAATCGGTTTACACCGGTTCGTTCAGGACGGCAAGCAGTTTTGGAAAAATAAAAAGTCTGAGACTACACAGATTCATCAATGAGATGTTTTGTGTCAGGAGTGAAAGATGGAGCCACTTTGCGTGTAATGCATCTTACTGTAAGTTACCCATGAGGAGGAGCTGCTGCTGCACTCGCAGCTAATGGGTATCATATTTTAGCAATAATATTGCATGACTCAAAACAACAGCTGGGTAATCGAATGGAACTGAACAAACCCAGCATAATGCAAAACAAGTCACCATGCACTGCCCTTTGCGTCCTTATCCTATTACAGACAGAAGCAGAGGAGAAAACAATTTTTTTTTCACCCTGCAGATCATTAGAAAATTTACCTCTTATGCCTCGCAGTGGAAATGGATTTTTGGAGGGCAACGGTCATACCTCACATTCCCTGGAGCCTGAGATGGTGTATGTGTAAGGTCCTGTCCCATTAACCAGCACATCCATAGTCTCTGAGTGTGAAGGCTTGTAGTCCACATAGTACTCTTGCAGTGGTGAATTAAAGGAGCGCTCGGTCTCCCGTGCCTTTTTCTGGCGCTTCTTAACCGCAGAGCGCTGCTGAAGCTGTTTGATGCTGCTGGGATAGCGCTTCCACGACACATAGATAACCAGCAGAATTATAGCCACAGATAAGAAGAGGGCCACGCTACCGGCTATGATCTTGTGGAAGGACACATACTCGGTGTCTGGTAATGGGATAGTGGGGGAGGCCTCGGAAGGAGTTGGAGAGGCTGTCCTGTTCCAGGTTAGCTTTTTATCCACCGCAGACTGCGTGGGGAGAGGTTTCAGCTCAGGCTGAAACGCCGTTGTGAGGGGCAATGTCGTTGAGGGGATAGGGGTCGGAGTTGCAGTACAGATGTTGTAGGTCTCCACCACATCTGTAACTTTCTCTCCTTGTGCCTCCTTAGGGCTGGTACATATCATTGTAAACTCCTTGTTACCCTTGAAGGCTTTGAGCCAGGACACCAGAGGGCAAACGTTGGGGTTACAGTACCACAAATTACCGGCCAAACTGATGGTTGTGAGGGAGATCCAAGCATCCACTGTCTGCTGAGAGACATTAGTGAGCTTGTTGGAGTCCAGGTTGAGAGTCTGAAGGTTAGGCAGGCATTGAAATGTGCTTGGATCCAACACTTGGAGCTCATTTCCTGAGAGGTCCAACTTCTGCAAGGAAGTCCACATCCATGGCAGGCCCTGCGTTAGCAGTTTGATGCGGTTCCACTGCAGATAGAGAGCCCGCAGGTTAGTCAGGCGAGGGAAATGAGCGAAATTTATCTTAGAAAACTGGTTGTGCTCCAAATGGAGCTCGATGAGCTTCAGGAGTCCTGCAAAGGCATTACGTGTGAGGCTTCTCAACCTGTTGTAGCCAATATCGAGAAACTCCAGGTTACGGCAGTCGAGGAAAACGCGCATCGGGACTGTTTTTAGGGAGTTTGACCTCAAGTGTAAACTGAGTAGCTTCCGTAAACCCCAGAACTGATTAGGCTGGAGGACCTGCAGTTTGTTGTAGGAAAGGTCTAGATTACGCAAATTCGGGACGTCGTGGAAAGTGTTGTTTTTCAGCTGTGTGATCTTATTGGAGCTGAGAATCAGTTCTTTGAGCCTCCTTATCCCGTGGAAAGCCTGGCCATCCACGGCATTGATGTAGTTGTGGTCAAGATAAAGCCAAACTAGTTGACTGAGGCCCGCAAACTGGTGGGCTCTAAGGGTCACCAGGCTGTTATAACGCAAAGACAGGCCCTGTGTGCCGACAGACACGTTGTTTGGCACGTCACGGAAGGCATTGGACTCGCAGTATATTATTTTCCCATCACATCGACAGCTCTGGGGGCAGGGACGCTCACGGATGCCGCTTGGAACAGCAAGCAGCCAGGAGGGCACCACCACAGTGAACACAAGCCATCTGAAAAGCACAAAAAGTCCTGCAGACACACAGGAAAGTGAGAGATTTATGAGTACAGAACATGTATCACACAGAACCATGTAGACTACACGGACTAGAAGGGAATAAAAGAGATGAAAATAGAATGTGCACAATTTTTGAGTCGAGCAACTGAATATGTTCTGAGACATTTGCAGGGGGGGATTTTCCTGCCTACTTAATTTGCACTGGAGCATTCATGGCACACACACACACACACACACACACACACACACACACACACACACACACACACACACTTATGTTCAGCCAAAGTCATGCTCTTGGAAAGGTGATTGATAAACCACACGCATGATGCACAATGTGACAAACAGTTGCTGAGAGAAAAGCCTCCTTTCGGATTCCCCTGCCTGCAGTCATCAGTCATAAACCGCAGGGGGGGCACAGACGCCAGCGACACCAGCTCTAAGTGAATTGTAGTTAGGCAAAAGACAAAAAAGACTGCGCAGGAATGAACCCTTTAAGCACCCTGCGGAACAGATTTTGGCTATACATACCCATATTTGCTCGGTGTCGGCTCTTCCTCTTGCTCAGGGATCTCTGTTGCATGCGTCTCCGGTGCACATGTTTAGACGCACTCGGCGTTTTGCCCAAATAGTTGGACACTTAACCAGGACGCCCGTCTGCGCGGATAAAACGGACACTTTGCGCCGAAGCCGGATCCGCTCTACTTGCAATCGCACACCTGTCGGAGATGAGAGCAGCTCCAAAAGGTGTGCATCAGCCTCCCTGTCTGTAGTTTCCTACATTACCGCACAACATCAGCTCGATAACGCGTATTTTTTTTCTCCCGAAAGCCCTCGGATGGATGCGCTCAAGCTCGTATCCTCATGAGAGTGACAGTTTAGCGCCTGTCGTGGGAGGCTATTAAAAAAACAGTCTAAACACCGAGTCGCCAATTGTTGAATCTAGGTTAAGTGGCAGAGCGAGAGAGACGGGGAGAAAAAACACTGGAAAACGACCAAGTGAAGAAATCTGAGAGGGATAAACTGTGGTCCAAAGCCGATAAGTTGGTTATATCCCGCTTCAGGCGTGGACAGTGGAGAGAGAGTGAGGGGAAAAGAAGCAGGCTGCTGTGGATTAGAGCCGTTAACCGTCGCATTAAAAATAAATCAATTGTACAGCAACAGGAATGATGTTGGTGTTAGATTATTACGGAGCTCGCCGGTGCTCGGTTTCAGGACTTGAGATGCCCTCTTCTGGTCGCAGAGTGGCACTCCGCAACCGGAAAAACCTAAAGTAGACTTCATTGTTATCACAAACGCAGCCTGCATATCAATTATAGGCGAGGGAATGGGAAGCCTGTTAGCTTTTTGTGTGGATATTTGTGAAGATGTGCCGCAAGATGTGCGTTCATTAGAATTAAACCCCACCAAATTTAAGATTATAATGAGCGAAGAAATATTATGTAACTTTAATGCCCTGATTTTCTTTCTCTTTTTTGGGGGGCACATATGAATCTTAAGAGGCATAGGCAGAGGCAGTCATTATACAGCACAGTCCTGTTTAATATTCCATTATCTTTTGCTTGAATATTATTGCTATTTAAGAACCATTTGGCCGCTGGGGGTAGTTATTTGCGCCTTTATACTACTTAGTTTTCTTTGTAAGTCTGCACATATTTTGAGGTTCGCCACGTGTGTTTCTTTCAAGTAAATGATTAAGAAACAGAGGACGGAGGAGCAGGAGGGGTTCTGGGATAAATATCCAAGGAAAATGCGAGGACCTCAAACGCAAACTTCATTATTTTGGCGAAGTCCACGCACAGATTGTTTTCCTCACCGGTAATTAAGTGGAATTATGCAGTGAGTTTTACTCTATCTGAGCCTGCATCGAAGGGTGTATTGGCAAAATCTGTTAATGTGGGTTTTTAATTAGGACTTCGGCAGGTGGGCCTGTAACAAAAAGGTCAGCTTGTTAAGAAGTTGTTAAGGAGTTGGTGGTAAAATAAATCACACATGCAGCCTGCAGTCTGGCTTGTACAGGTAGGATGCAGGTTTTAGATCATATCTGTTAAACATTTCTCAATCTCCATATCACTTTTGCTATTTATTGTCTGAATTAATGTATTTTGCAATGAAGGTTTTGTTGACATTTGCTACATTAGCATTCCAAATGCTCTCTTTTAGTCTTATGATACATTTATGAGCAAGAAAAAGTGTAAAAATTAAGTAGGAGCTCACTAAGAACTCTTTATTGGTAGTGATACTGAAATACATCATGCGTAAACAAAGGATGCTCTCAAGGCTTCATAATGGGACTTTGAGTCCGGGTCAAAGTCATCATTTCTAATGGGTCCCTCTGCCCCTGCACTTAATGAGCAGCGTAATTACCAGTAATGGACATTAATGAATATTTGAGCTCAAATCACAAATAGTTTGTGACAAAGAAATTGCTTAAACTAAAATAAAACGGATGCATGTAGCACTTCGCCATCAGTCACTGATTTAATTTCCAGTGTTAGATCGATAAGCTAACTGGAGGTGAAGGGCAGGGCATTAATCTAAAGACACACACACACACACATACACAATCACTTTCTCTGGCATGGGCACATATGTAACTGAAGGAGTGGCAGTGACGGTAGCACAGCTTTTACCCTTCAGTGTGCTGTGCAGTCACCTCACAATCATCTGTGTGTTTAGAACCATCTGATGGTGCTTCCAAACTTTCATTTCTGAAATGTTTATGTATTCTTAAGCAGACTTGTGACACCGTGTGGTGCATAACAGTAATATAAGCAGACAGCTCTCGAACGTGTACACGTGTAAAGCAGGGTTATACGTGGGGTTTGTTATCTGGGGAATGATTTGCGACAGCAGTGGTTCTATTTATTTGATTAGTGCAGCAGCACTGACCCAGTTTTGCAGTAATTTGAATTTAAAAGGATGGAAATAAACTTAAATCAAAAACTTTTGTGTGTATGCATTTTTTACACACCAGTAATGTTCAGACTTGGTGCTTTTTTTTATTATGGATTACCAACTTTTTCTGTTATATACTTTTTATGCTCTTGGATTTACTTAAATGTATTTATCTTGAATATATATTGTGCATATTAAGAGCAAATATATCCTTTCAGCTTATATGAAGTCTGCTTCTTGGAGGTTTTAGACGTACTCTAACTGGTCACTGTATTAGTTATATCTTTTTTACAGTTGCAATCTTTTACCTTCAGAACTGCTTTAAGTCTTCATGGCATAGATTCAATAAGGTGGTGCATGAGATTTTAGTCCATATTGACATGACAGCATCACACAGTTGCTGCAGATTTGTCAGCTGCACATACATGATGTGAATCTCCTGTTGTACCACATCTCAAATGTTCTCTATTGGATTGAGATCTGGTGACTATGGAGGCCATTTGAGTACAGTGTTCAAAATACCAGTTTGAGATGATCTGAGCTTTGTGACATGTTGTTCTGCTGGAGATGACTGTGGTTATAAAGGGATGGACACGGGCAACAATACTCAGACAGGCTGTATGTTTTAACAATGCATATTTGGCACCAAAGTATGCCAGAAAAATATCCCAAACAGTATTACACCACCACTAGCAGCCAGAACAGTTGATATAACGCAGGACGGATACATGTTTTTATGTTGTTTATGCCTAATTCTGACCCTACCATCCAAATGTCACAGCAGAAATTGAGACATTTTGTGTGTTCAGAGATTCTCTTCTGCATCTGTTGGTTGTAACAAGTGGTTATTTGAGGTACTGTTGCCTTCCTATCAGCTCGAAGCAGTCATTCTCCTCTGACCTCAGTCATCAACGAGACATTTTTCCCAGAGAACTGCCGCTCACTGGATATCTTCTCTTCTCAGACCATCCTCTGTAAACTCTAGGGATGGTTGTGAGGGAAAATCCCAACATATCAGCACTTTCTGGAAAACTCCAAGTAATTTAAATCCAGAGTAAAACTGCACGTGTCTGAGGTGAAATGTACCGCACCGTTCTAGTTGGTCTGTGAGGTCGATCCCCTTGGGGTCTCTTTTGTCCTCATACACAAACATCTCAAAAGTTTTTTCCACATATGGATGTATGGAATAGGAAGAAATTTTGATGTTTATGGTGGAAAAAGCTGTTATATCCTGTATTCCTATCCCTATTTTTTATTTTTTTTAAATCACAGCACGTCCCTGCTGTATAACCATCCCAAGCCGGGTTCCTTTAAATCCCCTGTGGTCTGTGCATCACTTCTTATTTATGTTGTTGAACAAATCTAACATGACCCACTTTCACATTTCATTCAGCTTTTTCTGGAATCTGCGAGAACTGGCATATGCAAGGAATAATTGAGTTTCACAGTACATTTATAGGCAACTTTTACACTGAAAGGAACGAGTCTACCTCAACTCCTTTAAGCCTTTCTCACTTGCATGTTTGCTTTGTGCTTATTCTTGCTTTCAAGCTGAAATCCATCTGCTTGCCAAACTGAGACAATCACGTGGGTTTCTCTGCTGCTGGATAATGGCACCTCAGGAGTCATCGGGAACAAGTTAACACCATAAGAGACCAGAAGAATGGCTTTCTTTTGACTTTAAACAGCACAGAGAGCAGGGGCATAAACAACAAAAAGGTATATGCACTCACCTCACTTTGCAAATGCCTCAGCCACCAAACTGCTTACTATGAAACTTTAATGACTGTCTGTGACTGACTGAACCCTGAATAATAGAGCATGGGCGGAACTGCTTTTTTGCAGCATAATGAATCCCACTGAAACGGGATTTAGAAATGTATAGTAAAATAATTAGCACAAAGCAGATTCAAACAGATTTAATTTGCGCTGACCCTGACTTCTAAATTTGAAGTTTTAATTACCTCCTGAACATTAAAAAAACATCCTAGCAGCAAGTAAATATTTCTGAGAAAGAAGCCTGGTCCCAAAACATCTGCCACTCTACCCCCTGCTGCTCCTGTGACTCAAACAGCATGCTTGTTTCTGCCATTTAATACACCAGAGAGAGCGTGTGCCGACTGATTGCTGTATACGAAAGCTGATTCCTCCAAAACCGATCCTCATCCTAACACAGCTCACTGGTCGCACCATCGTGCAGCCACTTTTCATTAACAGTTTTGAAGTTACGTGCTGATTTGAAGTTGCAAAGTCATTCATCTCACCTGGGCTTATACTCACTTTTACATCTTTCTCAAGCTGAAACGTCAGCAGCTGTAACACTGATGCATTTAACGAGGGGGCGGGGAAGCTGGTTAAACAGTCGTTAAAATGCTTAAAACAAAACTCTTCGGCTTCGTTTCTCCAGCAAAAGATCATTAAAGCATCTCTCTATATTCTAAGTCTACCTTTTCAAACTCTGCTCTCATGCATAAGATAAACTTCTCCTTCTGCGAGGAGGCCTGTGAGGATCGGTTGGTAATGCATTATAGAGATGATGGTAATGGGCTTGTGCATTCGAATCCTGAGTCAAACAACCATAATGTTCCAAATGAGCCTTTCCTTGCACCGCAAATATCAAGGTGCTGCTTTTAAAAATGGTTTATGTTGCTTTCATTTGTGTATTTCCTCATACATAATGCAGCGTACATAGAAAAGCTCTGCACACACGAGACAGCTTGGCAACAAGGATTCCCTATCATCAACAACCACAACAAAAAAAGCCGACAATGTAACGGTCCTACTTCCAACTGGGGACTGAAAAGACAACTTGAGTAGGCAACAGGCTTCGCTGTTTTATAAAGTATTGATATAAATATAAAAGAAAACAAAGGGCTGTGCTCTAGCTCACAAATGATTTGTGTTATTGTAGGTGATGCGACAAAGCAAATCCAGTCAGTGAGGAGAAACAGTGACTCTGTTCCTGTTTATCATCTTATCAGGGACCTGTAGAGGCCAGCCGAACAGCTGATCTCCCTACAACAGCAATTCTTCCTCATATACTTAATCATAGAGTAAAACCAGGTTGACCATTTTAAAACAAGATATTTCAGTAAAAGAAGCTTGGTATTTCAATATGTGGTCTATATTTGGCAATATGACTGGTATGAATGGTGGAGACGGGTTGCAAAGAAGTTTGCATATGTGGACAGGCTAAAGCAGTTTAAATTTTCTGGCTGGATGTGCTGAAGGGCATCAGCTGAGCCATCACCAGATGTGGCCAAGCATCGAGGTTAGCTGATTTGGCGGGATTGCGGCTGAGCTTTACAGCTTTTCAGGCATGTCTCAAATGACAATATGCTCAATATCTGTATTTGTCAGGGTTGGCAGGACCAGATTCTATTTCGAGTATGTATTCTCTAAACAAATAAAAAAGATAAAATGAGAAAATGTCTGTAAATAATGAGCAGTTGAGGATCTCAGTCACTTAGATGTTTGTTTTTCCACTGTGTACTGTTTACCTTTTTCATTTTGTTCCCAATTGCGATAAAAGTGCTATATAGTTGTTTAAACCTTACGTGCAAATAAAATTTTAATGAACCTGCTGCTTTAGAGTGACTGAGAGTCATTTGTTTGCATGAGCAATGAGATGTTGTGGCCAACCTCTTCACGCAACCGCTGAATACCTGGGCATCAAATTCATTTCAATGCAGTTTGAGATGTAGCAGTAAAAGCTGTCAAATACTAAAAGAAGGCCTGAAAAGTGCAACAGAAACTCAGTTTCTTTCTGCAGATTTTCCCTCCTGTGGATTTCAATATGTGCAGCAGCAGTCACGTAAAGGCAAATTAGCCATCAAGTTATCTCTGTGATGCATGTGATGCTGTAACAGAAGGCAACTACATTCAAACATCTACCCATCTACTTCTGCTTATCCAGTTCCAGGTCTTGGGGGGGGGGAATTCCTCCCATCTGTCATAGGACGAGTTATGAGGGGCGCACCCTGGACAGGTTGCCAATCTGCTGAAGGGCACAAAATTACCATGAGAGGCAATTTTGAGAATATAAACATGGTTGATAATTTGTGGCCTAGTGAGAAGAGTAAAATGTCAGAGAAAGTTGACTGAGTGGGTGATTAAATCCATCCACCTGTGAGCACCAGATGTGCGTTATATTGACAACAATATGTGACTGCATGCAACTCGCTGTGCAGTCCACATGTGGCACAGTGCAGGCTCTTAACAAGTCAGTTCAGACACAAACTTATGCCTGTAAAGCCCAACTTTTCTTCATCTTCCACGCTGTAACATCCTGTTTATTAGCATCATTTTGAAAAGGCGGGCTCGCATTTTTGATCTCTGAGAATGGGTTTGAAAATGGCCCAGAGGAGGATTCGTCTGCTGTCACTGGCAGTTAAGAGATAGCGGTTGTCACATCTGATGACATCCACAATTATACTGTCAATACAGAAGATGGAGTTGGCGTGCATACGGAGTCATTTGCCATATACAAAGTGAGTTCCGGTTGATAACCTGTTTGTGGAAGCTGACACCATCACTGACAAACAGCACAGCTCACACCCTTAGCTGAGAGCAGGTTTCATTTTCTCTATAGTATTTATGTAGAAACTGGCACTACTTCCACCTTAATGTTACAAATTGTCAAGCAAGCAGTTTGCCCCCTAAATGAAAAGTAATCTATGAGTTGAATAAATGCATTTAAATGACATTTAATTACAAAGTGTGCCACTATAGACATAATCAACCCTCTCTTTAAAGAGCAGAAATACATTTCTCTTTAATGCGCTCCACAGGGATGGCAGGAAATATTGCTTTCCCAGTAATATTACAAATATGAATATGAATTCATCAGCTTGCTCTTGTTACCCACAAGTGATCTGGTTGGTTACCTATCTCTCTCCAGTCTTCGCTGAACTGGTGAATTTCCAGGTCTCTGCAAGCCATACGCTTCCCTCCGCGTGCACAAGGGGTTGCTGTTACCACACCTTACAACTCAAGACTCTCTGACTGCTGTGCATTTTCCACACTGTTGTGTCCAATGAGATGAGTGCGTGCTCTAAGCAGATTTAGCAGAGTATGAAAGATGAGCGTGAAACAACCACAAAATTAGAGGTACCCTCATCCCCTCCCACTTCCAGTATGTTTTGTTTCCCCTTTTGTTCCTCTGCCGTCTGTTGAGTGCACACTTCATAAAGGCCATTTATAATCCCGCTGTATGGAACATTTCTAGCCAGCAAGAGGTGCTGACTGTTTATCTGTGTTAAAGTGTCAACATCACACTTAAGCTGTTAGAATAATTAGCATTTTTGACAAGCTACTCATCACACGTTTTCTGTCACTACTTGGGTTTTTTTCTGTTTTCCTGAATGAATGATTGCAAGTGCTGAATGAATGGTGGATGTGGATCACAGCCCCCCACCTCCACCACCAGCCCAGAGTTTGTTGTTTTGATTACCCGCACCCCCGCCCCCGTTTGTTATCTCTGTCATCATCATGTTCGGCACTCATCAAGACACCGGTGCAAGTAAACGAGGTGAAATCTTACTATAAATAAATACAAATAAAATACCTAAAATTAAAAAAAAATGCAAAGCTTGGTTTCAAAGCTAATTTTTAGAATTAATTTTAGGTAGCTTTTAATTCAACCCAGGTTAAAAAAAATACGAGCAATTATTAGATAAAAATACTAATACTTTGCTTTAATTAATTCATTAATTAATAGCTGGTTTAGGCATGCGTGGCTGGAGGTGAGCTTATATACTGTATGTGTGTTTGGAGACGCCTACGCCTCTGAGGGGAGAGAGAGAGAGGGGAGAGAGAGAGCACAGAGTGGAGGATTGTGCATCAGTCTGTTGGCGCTCAAATGGGTAATTGCGCACACAGCCGACTGGACTATAGTGGCGACTCCAAGTACGACCCAGGTGTGAAGGCGTCCTATTTCTGAGCGGCATGCAGGGATCAGGGGGTTTGGACCGCTACGGAAAACTTGCTTCTGCTGCTCAAGTCATGCTCAATGTGCAACTCTGAAGCCGCATAAACTGCGACTGAGAGCAGTTTAACGCGTCTCTTATCGTTCTTTTTTTTAACCCCCCCTAGAGGATTACTCCTTCCCTCGGTAACCATGGGTAAGTCATTATGTTCCTCACAATTTAGTGACACAGTTTCTCCCTCCAGTCGTAGCCAAGACGACGGCAGTGATCAGTTTTTAATGGCAGATTATCATTATTAATTATTATTATTTCTGTTTAGTTCCTAAATTGAATTTTGCTTTTATTTATTTATTTATTTAATTAATTAATTATTACCTAATGATGGAGGAGGATTTTCAGCAGAATTTTACGTGTCTGGTCTTTGAAAAGCTAATAATAATTACTGTTATTTGCTTTTCTCTTTATGTGAATATGATCACATATGCATACCTTAAAAATAGCTGACGTCAGACTGTTATCAATTCTTCATGAAGCAGGTCTGGAGTCTGAGACATCAGACCTCAAGCTGCTCCTCTCTCCATGATCTCCTGTTTGAAGGATGAATTCTTTGCCTTTACTTACTTGAGCGTCCTTGAGCAGGCATTTTCTTAAACCATGTCATCTCTTTGATTGCTTGTGCTCCACTCTACCCCCAACAGGTTCTGTGATGTTGGACTGGCGGTTATCATGTCTTCTTCTGCAGGCAGCCGTTTTGCTGCTGCTCAGCAAGGGGGAGAGGATGTGCCCCGTGAGTTGTCGCTGCGAGGGAAAGATCGTTTATTGTGAGTCGGGCATCTTCCACGATGTTCCAGAAAACATCACCACGGGATGCCAAGGTCTGTCTCTGCGTTACAACAACCTGCAGGTTCTGCTGCCGTACCACTTCGCTCATCTTGGTCAGCTTGTGTGGCTTTACTTGGACCACAACTCAATCAATGCCATAGATGCTTTAGCTTTCCACGGGGTGCGCAGGCTGAAAGAACTGATCCTGAGCTCAAACAAAATATCCCATCTGCACAACAACACATTCAGTGCCATACCAAACCTGAGGAATCTGGACTTATCCTATAATCAGCTGCAGTCTCTCCATCCCGGACATTTCTACGGGCTGCGCAAGCTACAGAATCTCCACTTCAGGTCCAATGGACTGAAACAGATCCTCGTTCGTACTTTTTTGGAATGCCGCAGCCTGGTGTTCCTCGACCTGGGTTATAACCGCTTGCGGAGCCTCACCCGCACCGCGTTTTTGGGGCTGTTCAAGTTGAGGGAACTTCATTTAGAGCACAATCAATTTACCAGGATTAATTTCTTTATTTTCCCACGCCTCAGCAACCTCCAGGCTCTTTATTTGCAATGGAACCGCATACGATTCATCAATCAAGGTGTGCCGTGGACTTGGCAGAAACTTCAGAAACTGGACCTCTCGGGGAATGAAATCCAAATCTTGGATCCCGCTGTTTTCCAGTGCATGCCAAACTTACAGATACTGAACCTCGAATCAAACAAGCTGAGTAGCGTGCCTGTGGAGGCTGTGGCAGCATGGACTTCGCTGACCACCATCAGCCTGGCAGGTAACGCCTGGGACTGCAGCCCCAGCATCTGCCCTCTCATGACATGGCTGAGAACCTTCAAAGACTCCAAAGACATCAGCATGATATGCAGCAGTCCCAAGTCTGTGCAGGGCGAAAGAGTGGTGGACGTAGTGAGAAACCACTCAGTATGCATAGACATGTTAAATGTGTTCTCGACCACTTTCATCATTAGGGGTTCAGCTGAAATTGTGAACATCACAGCTCCCCCGTCTCCCTCTGATGTTACAGACCTGGCTGCACAGACATCCACTGCTTCACCTGACCAGCCTGGCAGGACAGACAGAGAGACAACAGAGTCCATAACTATGAGCTCTACAGCTCACAATTCCCCCGAAACACCTACATCATTTATCCCTGAGCTACAGTTTGAACATATGGCTTTCCATAAAATCATTGCGGGCAGCGTAGCCCTGTTCTTGTCAGTGTCATTGATTCTGCTGGTTATTTATGTCTCGTGGAGGCGCTACCCCAACACCATGAGGCAGCTGCAGCAGCACTCAGTCAACCATAAGCGCAGAAAAAAGGCCCGCAAGCAGGAACAGGACCTTAACTCTCAGTTGCAAGAGTACTATCTGAGCTACCACTCAAACTCGGAGACAATGGACTCCTTGGTGAACGAGCCAAGGCCGTGCACGTGCACTATATCAGGATCAATAGAATGCGAGGTCTGAGCTGCCCACTAAAACACGAGATATAAAGTGCAATTGCTAAGCAGAGGTAGATAGGCTTTGTTTCCCCTCCAAAAAAAAAGATTAAGTGGTTTTTATCTCTAATATGAGATGATAGATTCTGCAGCAGTGAATAAAATACTGGGGGGCATAGTACAATATAATTATATGCAGAGAAAAGAAGATTGGAATGGAGAAATATATTTGGAGAGCTAATTATCGCCCTGACTGACACAAGAACAGTGGCAGGGTCAGTCGGGTTAGCTGTGTCTGACCTTACAAAAAGACTGGATCTTTGCTAACGCGAAAGTCAGCTCCACAGAGAGACTGACCTTATTCTTAGTCAGAGTATATTGCCATAGAACATACGAGCCAACAAAGCCACTTTTTACTTGCAACTGTTTTGTTTTTTTTATTTTATTTATTACTATTATATCGCTTGTAAAGCATTTTGGATAAATGTCAGTACCTTTGAGTGTATGTGTGTATATGAGTGTGCTATGGGGATGAACTAATAGGACTGCACCTTATTCTCACAAATAGTTTTTGTCCAGTTAAATTATTTTTGCATTGGGCCCCACAGTATAGCAGTAGCACTACCATAAAAATGGACGAGGGTGGGGGGCAATCACAGAGAACAATCTTGTCCTGAGATCATATGCATGAGGCCGTTCTCTTTACTTTAGATGCTTCTTTCTCCTGTAAAAGGATCCGTCCTGACTACAGAAAAAAAGAGAAAAAATATGTGTGCAATTTGATTTGCTGTGAGAAAAGCCACACAGATGAACAGTATTTAAATACCCATGAGTCTGAATCTCAGGACTGACGTTTTCCAAGCTGTACAAATCTGTCAGGTCCAACAGAAGGCCTTGTGTGTGTGTTAAGAAGTAACAATGTTGACTTTCAACATATTTTGTATTGATTACCGCTGTCATTGTATGGACTGTTTGTGTAAAGACGTAATAATGTGGATACTAGGAATTCTATGTGACTGTATAATTAAAAGAAACACTGACAACTGATGAAAAAAAAGAGAGAAGAAAATGTGTGTGTGATGAGAACGCTGACATCTGACGCGGCGCATGGCGCAAAAAAAATCTCTTGAAATCCATGCATTGTGATGTGGATGTTTCACATCTCATTGGATTTGCAGCTGCACGCGAGGGGGAGCTGACATATTTCCACGTGTCTCGTTTTCCTGCTGTCTTCTCTTACACCCTCTCCCGGCACTACAGTATTGATTGTATCTGGGTTAACACCTCAAACAGAGGGTAGGGGGACCGTGTCAGTCCCTGGGATATAGCTGATCTTGTTTTAAAAAAAAAAAGAGGAGAAGAGTATTATACTCTGTTTTACTGCGGAAAGGTTTGGTTTAAGTGGAGCCCAAGTAGGCGATGCCATTCTTTGAGACAAAGAGACATTTTTGGTCCCTGAAACCAGAAAGAGATTAAGAATCTCTGCTTTATATAACCATGTATTCACTGTCAGTTTGAAAATACAGCTCTGGTGCAGTGAAAGGAAGGACAGAATAGAGGCAGGCCACTGAGGGACAGTGGGTGTTACAGGTCAAGGCAGTTATGCTATTATGAAGCTATCAGCTGCACTGGTCTGCTTTTTTCCCCATCTCCTCCCTTACGTATTCTCTTTGTGTGTGTGTGGTTTGTTTACTGTGTTGACAGAAAAATGAACCTGTGCCAGGAGACATGCAAATGTTCACACATTGAGCAAGACACACAGGCAGCACTAGTGTTAGCATATATGAGCAATAAAAAGGGGTATTCGTCCCAATGCGAGAGATTCCGCTGAAAAACGGCATCCTACAGTCTCTCCCTCGCAGCTGTCACATTTTTTTTGCTGTCTGCTTTTTTTCTTTCCACCTGTTGTGTTTTGAAGTAAATGCACGCTTGAATCCCTCTTATTATCTGCTATTAGCCCGTTCGCATGTGTCGTGTGCTATACGTGGAAACTTTCTGACAGGTCAAAGGTTGTTTAGATGTGGATTTATGATCGCTCAAAATCCACTTTCCTTATCCTCCAGGCAGGCGTCGAGGCACGCTGCCAACAGAATTTATATCCATAAATCTGGTTTCTAGCTTGCATATATGATGAATTTCTTCTTGTGGGCCTGTGGGAAAAATGTGAGGCCGTACAAAGAAAAAATACATAATATGAACAGGACAAACGATTTGTTGATCTAATTTCCGCAGCTATTGTAATTAGTGTTTGATTTGTCGTGTAGTGATTGATGAAAAGCAATTCCTTGTGTTTTGAAATGTTTTGGTGTTGTGTGGCTAAGAAAGGAATACTGATTAGAGAGCTGCGGCCTGCATCCTTCAGATCGCTATTGGAGGATATCTGTGCGGATGAAAGATGCTAGGAATGCACTGCTTCAGCTTCAAGCAACATTGCACAAGTAGAATCACATTTCGCTGGTGAACTCTGTAAAAAGCTAAACCTTTACATACTAAATATCTAATACCTCTGTGAAGTTCAGCTCAACAAGGCCAGAAATGCTCACTTGCTCGCCCCTCCCTGGTGGTCATGAAGTTTTGATTTGCAGCAGTCACTGGGGATTTTTCCAAGGTAATGCATGTAACTCTTTGCACAAGGTGTATGCTGGTTATTTGAAAGGTAAGCACACTAATCCTAACGCAGCAGTGGTGGTATTTTATCCCCTCAAACACATAATTTTCTTTTTATCTGGCTGCCTGATTTCTATTTTCGAGGGAGGTAATTTAAAGTAATCACTCAAAATTTGGGCAATAGCATATTAGCATTCGTGCCAAGAGTTTGATGAGAAAATTGATAACACTCCTGTGTTTTTCTGGTAAATATAAGGCAACAGCCAGCAGCCAGTTAGCTCAACTTTGCATGAAGAATGAAAATGAGGAAACTAGCCTTGGTTTGTCCAAAGGTAACAATCGCCACCCAACGTCATCGCTAAAGCTCGGTAGTTAACATCCCATTTGTTTAATCCTTAAACAAGCCAAAGGATTAAGACTGTCATATGTAGTGGGTTACATCGCTGATGTAACTTCCTGAAGGATCAGGTGGTTAGCTGACACCTCGTATAGTTAAGGCTTTATCTCATTGTTTTTAATTGTTGTTCTTTTGTACATATCTAAGATACATGGTGTGTGTTTTTACTGATCGTGGCTACATTATCAACCTGTGTACCGTTAGCTACATAGTGTAGAGGTTGCCGAACATATAAAAACTCCCTGGTTAGAGACCAGAAGGAAATACCAACCCGGTCTCAGAGAAGTCACAAGCTAGTGTACTCCCAGTGCTGGTCCAAAGCCTAGATATATGGTGTTGTTGTGTCAGGAAGGAAATCCAGTGTAAAATTACAGTGCAGCCCTCCTGAGCCAGGTTCTGCCAGAGGTTTGTTCTTGTTAAAGGGATTTTTTTCCTTCCCACTGTTGCCAAGGGCTTGCTCATAGGGGGTCGTCTCTGTATTACTGCAGGATCTTTACCTTACAATACAAAGCACCATATGATGGCTGTGGTCATGATTATGTTGTGCTATATAAACTGAAATGAACTGAAATTGAAAATCTGTTGTGGCAACCTCTTATAGGAAGTAAAGGAGTGTCTGAAAGTACTGATAGTAATATGTGCTGGTTTGTCGACTTTGTTTTCCTTTTGACAAAGCAGTGGGAGGTTTTTACGTTGGGCCCAGGTGGGAAATTCCAGTATTTAAAAACAGGCACGATCTTGATATTGAGGGTACAGGCAGAAAAAAAGTGACATCTTTTAATCCACCTCTCGGCAAGCAAGTGAATTTCTCAATTAAATCAAAGACATGAAAAAACAACTACAAGTTATTTATATATGCAAATGACTGATAAATTCTTTCTCTTTTCCTTAAGCATATTTACCAGCTTTAATAGCATGGCTGTTTCTGCTTTCACCTTGTGTATTTGTGTGTGTCGTGGTGACTGTCTAATGGGAACAACCGCAAATGCATTTAGGATTTCTGCAGACATATTTTGTCGGCTGAATGCAGCTGTGAGGCTTCAAATGTGTGTATTTGACTTCAAAATCAAGGTCAAGTCCAGAGGATGAGTGCGGTGAAACTATTGGCTACTCATATGATAATGCAGTAATGACTGTTGAGTGCGCGCAGTTTAGAATATTAACATGTCAATGGGTGCCACAGCTGTAGGGTCCCATTGCAAAAGGGTCTTTCATTCAATATTGTGTTTTCTATTGCATTTGTGCCAGGCTTCCATCCAGTGGAAAGGATTTCTTCAAGGATGATTGAGTCATCCAAGTCTTTTATTGGACAAATGTGCTCAGCAGACAGGGAATTTCCTTTCTTTCTTTCTCCTTTAAAACAGCGAGCATCACATCCACTCCTACATGCAATTTAGGACCAAGGCTCAGGACCTTCAAGCTAGCATGTCGAGACTTTTACGCTAATATATTCAAATGATTACAATCAGTCAAAAATAGAGTCACTGAAGTATGAAAGGCTTCAAAGGCAGTTGTCACACTCTGGGGAGACAGAATTGCCCTGTCTCTAGTGTGCCACAACTAGATTCCTTTGTTACTTCACCTTTTGTGCACTGTATGTCACCTGTAAAATTCATTTCAATACTAATGCCTAACAGCTTTTGTCACATGTCCCAGTAGGTGCTTTGAGCCCCCCCCCCCCAAAAAAAATTCTCTCGCTGCTGCTTTTTATTTTTTATGTGATCATGTGAAAGTGGTGATAGTCAGAGAGACCTTTCAGCGTTCAGTAAAGGCACGCTGTTTTTCGTTCAAACAAGACGACATTACTGAGCGAATTGCTGCAAAGAATTTTAAGATAACTTCAGAGAAAATTACTTTTTGTCATTATCTATTCCCTCACTTTCATCTTTCCGCTTCATCACTCAGTGTAAACTTAAACATATACTGGAAATTTAATGAAAAAAAATCACAAAATTTTGGTTTTCTCTGCCGTTTGTCCTGAAGCAGTAGGACGTAGAAACTTTCTTCGCAGATATAGACACAGATATATTAATTGTGTGATCTTCTCTGAACAGTGTAGACTAACGGCCTCTTTATTAAGTACAGATTATAAATATCTCATCAGTCAGTCACATGGAAGCAACTCAACTCATTTAGGCATGTAGACATGGTCAGTACAACCTGCTGAAGTTCAAACCGAGCATCTGAATGGAGAAGGAAGGTGATTTAAGTGACATTAAATGTGGGATGGTTCTTGTTGGTAGATGGGCTGGTCTGAGTAATTCACAAACTGCTGATCTAACAGGATTTCCTCACACAACTATCTCTAGCGTGGTCTAAAAAAAGAGCAAATATCCAGTCAGTGGCAGTTCTCTGGAGGAAAATACCTTGTTGATGTTAGAGTTCAGAGAAGAATGGGCAGACTGCTTTAAGCCGATAGGAAGGCGACAGTAAGTCAGACCGCTATTTGTTACAACCAGGTCTAAAGAAGCAGTAGCAGAAGACCACGCTGCAAGCAGCTCAACAAAATCAGATGAAAGAAGACTGGAAAAATGTTCCCTGATGCGATGGTGGGGTCTTGATTTCTGACGTTACATTCAGATTGTGAGCTAACAATTTGGTGTAAACGACCTGAAAAAATAGTTCCATCCTGCCTCGTATCAACAGCTCGGGCTGCTGGGGGATTTTTTCCTGGAAGCCTCTTTGACCCAACTGGGCATTGTTTAAACATTACATCTGACCGGAGTATAAAGAATTAACCCAGTACTAGCAAAGGATACCTAATAAAGTGACTGGTAAGTGTACTTGTATATGAGCACTGATCTGTGCTCCTAATCATTCCCATGTATACTAAACAGTTAGTCAGTAAAGTAAAATCTTTCCAGCAGTGAGTTTTGATATTAGAGACGCTTGAAGTGAAAATGTTGTTCCAGGCACGGAGTATAGTATATTACGTTTTACGAGTTACTTTCTTATCCATGGAAAGTGATCCCAGAGCAGCTTTAGTTTACATAACATTAGGAAATCATTTCAGGCAGAAACCCAATTAACAGCCTGACCTTTATAGCTGCATTTCCACTTCCCTTTGACAACACGTCTGCTTCATTTAGAGTCTGAAGCAGTATTTATACATCTTGTTGCCACATACTTAGAACTCAGATTCAATTATTTTGTATCTAACATGCTGTACATACAGACTGTATGATGTAACAGTAATATAGCGCATTCTTTTGAGGTGTCACCTCATTGTTTCACTGATTTATTTCCCCTGATTCTCCACCAGTTCTTCCTCCCACACCGGGGGAAATCAACCAAAAGCCAACAACAATTAAATGTATAAGATTTATAAGCGCCGGGCCTAGTCATATTATTGTTTCCTGAGAAATCCAACATCACCATGGAAACTCTAATAAAGAAGCAGTGGCCACCGAGGATTCATTTTGGGGCTAAAAAAATGTCATTTAGAATTGTGAAAGAAATTTTCACTTTCAGGTAGCCTTGCATGGGAGCACACACACACACACACACACACACACACACACACACACACACACACACACACACA